ACATAATGTAGAAGAACTCACAAAACAGCACTATACAAATAGTTCATTTTTACCCGAAAAGATAACAAAACAAGTACCACAAGGCACACACGTAGAATCTGATAGGCACTACTAGCATAGAAAGGAAGATGAGTATCATAATCATAAATCTGAAAGCATGAGCCCCCAAAGAGTTTCAGTACTTATATGTCTTAGAAATAGACATATAAAGATAAAAGCATTTGTGGATTACAGAGAATGGAAAATCTAATCTATCATGGCTTCTACTCAAAGAAAAAGGACACTACAGAGTGAATTTTCCTTCCCTCAACAGGCGAGGTTGACCTTATTTTCAATATGTAGGGATTCCACATTTGAACCATTTTGAAAGCTGGAGGAAAAGGAAGTTGTGCAATGCCTCTTTTAGGCTGGTAGCTGGAGAGAGAATTTAAGAAACTAAAACAAAAACAAAGCTTCACAATCCTAATCTTGGTCATAGATTCTGACAGATAAAATTTAAATCAAAAGTGAGAGTAATGACAAGTATTACCCATGAAAAGAAAAAAATAAACCTGCCAAATCTCAGGAGACAGAGCAGCATAGACAAACACAAAGGTTTGGAATTCTGGCTCTACTACATGATGGGGGCAAATCACACCTCTCAGCCTCAATGTTCTCATCTGCAAAGCAGGTTTGTGGTGGGGACCCGCAGGGAGAATACACGTAGAATGACTCTGTCAAGGGTAAATGGATACAAATACAAGGTCAATCTCCACAATAACACAAGCCCAGAGGAGTTTCCATCGCAAAGACAGCAGGCTGAATGCTATGCCGATCTCATAAACGCTAAGTCACAGGTTTCTGGAGAGATCTTTGAGATCCTGTAATCAGGAGACCCAAACCAGTGCCCCAAAGCTGAACATCCCGCTCCAGACAGAAATGTAGAGAAACACAACTAGGTAGGTGTTGGCCTAAAGGCGATTCAGCTTTGTACCTACTGCCTTACATTCAGTTGGCCTCAGGAATTTCTGTAGCCCCTAAAGTATCTAAGCTGGAGGTTTAATCCAGCCCCTGCCCTTTCCTTTTCATTTTTCTGCTGAAAGCAGAGGTCTAAGAATGTGCGACGACTTGTCCAGGATCATCTGCTACTTCACACAGGCTCAGGCTCACACCAGGGACTCGGGAGGCTTAGCCCAGTGCGATTTCCACCACGCCACGCTGCCTCTTTAGAAGCAAGTTAAACATGTTTGCTATTCTTTTTCCTCCAGAGATGTTACCCATAATGAAAAACTAAGAACTCACTCTAATCAGCAGACTTTTTTAGGGATTACTTGAGGCTATAAGAGCTAATGTAGTCGTGGATAAAGAAGGCATGAGATTTAGTTAGAGGATCTGGGCTCAAACCCACTTTATCACCTTCCCAGATTGGCATATCATTTAACTTTTTTTTAAGACTCAGTCTTCTCATCTGTAAAATGGAGATGACAGTTCCTACAGGGCTGTTGTGAAGATGAAATTGTTGCCAAATAAAACTGTCAAAAGAAAAGTGTTCAAGAACAAGATGCTGAAATTATCAAGGGGGAAAAAAAGTCTCCAACAACAGAAATGAATATAAATTCTAATTGAATAAATAAATACTAAATGTATAAATTAAGATGTTTTAAAAATAAAAATGAATATATTAAAAATATAAAAATTTATTGTACAAAATACATTGGAAACTGGTCAGTTTATTGCCAAAATTGAAATATATTGTTTGGAAATAATTTATGTCAAAACAAATGCTATTTGTCCTTGAAATCAGGCCCAGAAACATTTTAAATTTATGAAGTACAATACAGACTACTTTCACCTTACTGATTTCATGAAGCTTCTAGTATTTGTGGAGTTATTACACTAAGAAGGTATAAAAACATGATAAATTAAAACAAATTAAACACTGATAATGTAGTTGATTATCCTATTTCCTTAACTTCAACTATATCATAGTCTAACACGCCCAATGATGTTAACCTTTGGTTGAAGAGCACTGTTACATTTTAGAAAATGTGACACTCTAAAACCAGAAAAGTTGTTCAAGTTTTTGTCCCATAACTTTCCTACCCTCCTTTCCAATTAATGATTGGCTGATGAAAGATTACCCAACGCATTTTCGGTGCCCAAGTAAGTTTTCAGATGCTGCATCCTCTATTCTAAATCTCCTCTTAGAGACTCCCAAAGCGTATTAGCAAAAAAAGGAGCTGCGGAGCCCCGTGATAGAGTTTCCTACCATCTGACCGTGGACCTGTGTAAATATCCACAGAAGTCACTGCCCTGCCCCACCCCGCCCCATCCCACACACAGTAGGTTCCAGATTCGCAGAAATTCATGAATATGCATGAATCCCCAAATTTGGGGCATTAACAGAGTTGCAAATTTTTTATTTTGCTATGTAAGAACATGTGAAAATCAACTACAGTTTCATGAAACAAATAAAAGTCTAAATAAAATAAAATAACATGTATGAGAAAGCCTTCTAGAAACTGCAAAATGCTCTATAGATAGATTTAAATTATTTTTACAGTGATCTCTAATAGGTTTCCTACAGAAAGAAAATAGATAAATGGTCATTAATAAATTATGGAAAAAGAACAGCCTTTTTCGTAGAAAAAAAATTCTAAAGTCTTTCTTCATCCTTGAGTACGAAGTACTCCCTGGAATTCTTTGAACAACCTGCCCCAGTAGAGCATTTTCTCCCTGTATCCTCCAACAAGATGTCTGAGCTCCAGCAGGGACTACAGGTGTACCGGCTTTCACCGGCTCTGCCACCTTCTCTGTGAGTCCCTCTGAGAAGCCACTCCTTGGTTGGGGGGCTATCCAGGCAACCACAGCTCTTTGGATCCACTGGCTAAATGATTCTGAGTCTGCTTAACACATTACCCAACTGCATACTTACATATCTTAAGAAAAAGCTCTCAGTATATTTTAAAATATAATTAATAGGATAAAATATTGATTTAGCAGCTGTTTTAGTGGATTTTTTTAATGTTATGCTTTCGTTTTGCATCTAATAATTTTATTTTTATTTCCAGCTGACTCAGAACTATGTAAATTTATTTATAAAAAATAAATGAGCAGTGAGACCACAGTGGTGTCCACGAGCTTTGTTCTCTGGGAGGAGAGCCTAGTCAGAGGGATGTATTAGGTGGTTTTGTAGGCACTGGGGAGGCTGAGGGAAAAGAAAGGCATATTTTCAACCTGGAGGCTGAGCTTCATGCACTACAGCTGAAGGACAGAGGAAATTATTTAGCACCTGCCTTGGGGTAGAGTTGTTCAGAGACACCTAACTGACTTCTCAGCAAATTTGGGTCTGAAACTTCGAGCATCCCTGGCATACTCGGGGTGGGAAGGGCCCATGAAGTACAGATCATCATCAAGCTCATTCATCCCCAGAGGTCTGCAAGGTCTGACACTGAAACCACTTTCACCAAAGCCCAATTCCAAGCCCTGGGATTAGTCAGTTCCCTACCCGGATTACCTTTCCGCATTCCGAGGGCGCTGCACAAAAGGCAAGCTCCTCATGTCACCTCTCCTTGCCTACTGACCCATTCCCATATTTTTATTTCCTTCTTGTCTTTCTCAGTCTTCCTCCGATAACCTTTCCTTTGGGTCATCTGCAAACCTTCAAAGCCCACTGGAAATATGTCTGTATATCTTAAAGCTTTTTGCACAAAACCTCTACTTCTTCAGCTTGACTGAATACCAATTTTTCTCCCATGAAGGTGATTTCCCACAAAGCTCTCTGAGTGAAGGCTTCTTGACCTCTCGCACCCCTACCTGCAGGAAAAACCTCTTTTCTGTTAAAGATGTGTTATCCAACACCACTGTCCCCTGTGAACTGCAAGATTAGTGTCCCAGTTCACTGAGAAGCTAGAACATTCTTCCTCCTAGTTGTCGATGTCCATCTGGATGACGCAGCAAAGGCTGTGGCCTCACAGTTTTGTTCCATTTTTTGAACATGTCCACAATGATTTTGCTTCAAAAATTTTAATGTAATATCACACTCCCTTGCCACAACTGTTTGTTCCTCCAGCTCTGCCATCCCTTCTCATCTCCCACACCTGTTCTTGACACCATCAATCTCCCTGAATTTCTTCTTGCCACCCTGCCTCTTACCTAAGGCTGTCATGGAGTTCAGCAGGTGGCCCCCTACTCTGCACACTGCACAGTGACAACTGCCCCAACAAATCTCATGATCCTCTGCTTACAACCTTATCTTTTAGCTTCATCTGCAACATCTTATTGTTTCCAGGAAAGAAATGTCATCCATTATAACAAAAACTCATTTTCAAGTGAATTAGAGAAAGAACAGTCTGGATTTTTAAGGAAATGTCTTTTAAACAGTTTCAAATTCTACAGAAGCTACTGGCAGCCTGAAAAACAGTAATTGCTAGAGTCATTTTAAGGAAAACATTAAGATGCTCTATAATTAGCATATTAATTATTTATATGAAAATAATGGGTTCCGTTGTTCTTATCACAAATTCTGAATTAACAGGGATCATGAAATTGTACTATTCTAGAAAACAGACAAAAGGCTAAATAAATCCTATATTTTAACGTATTTTAGGCAATAGATTACTGAATGGCTTCGAGAAAAATGATTAAACTATTTGAAAAACATTTTTTTATTCCTCCAAATGGACACAATACTTATTTCTTCCTAAAAATGTTTGGGTGGACAAATGTAACAGCCGCTGTAACTACTTTCACATACTCCTCAATTCCATGTTATATTAACCACACAGATATAATGCCTGCTTAATAAGAGAAAATTTGGATATAGGTAAGAAATCAGATAGCTTTCTTAAGGGGTGATGTTTCTAATTTCTTTTAACAATTTTCTAAATATCTGGGCCTAAATAAAATTTAACTACCAAACTAAAGTTGTAAACTGTTGCCTAACATAAACCCTAGAAATGTTTATCCAGTAGTGAGTCAACTCATTCAGTATGCTCATATATTCAAGAAAAGATACTTACTTGCAAATTGTAGTCCTGTAGAATTTTAACCAAGGAATCTCTCAAATTGGGAATCTCCATTCCTTCCTTAATACGATGAATTAGTAGAATTGGGTCAACATGCGTGCCAATGTTGTTTAACAAGCCAGTAATAAATGCTACAAAATACCACATAAAGCAATTAACATATAAACGATGTTATAATGCAATTTTATTTGCACATAATGCAATTTTAGACAAATAGTTACTTAAGAAATTATTTCCTTCAAAGTAAGTGTTAAAATCATTTGAATTTCTAAACTCTCAAGAATTAATCTTCAAAACTTTCAAGAACTTTCCTGAAGACATAAAGGAGAAACTAAATACAAAGTGTTTAAAAACAGCAGAACAAATAATTACTTACCTTCAACAGTTTGCTATGTCAAAGTGTTGCCACTAATATTGATTGAGAACGTACTATGGCTTAGCTATTCCACACTTTTCTCCAATATTTTGAAAGATAGGAACATTGTGTTCCCATCTCAGAAAGAGAAAGGGGTGTTTAATTTATCCAGAGTCACACAGCTGGCAGGTAATGAGCCCGAATTCAAACCCATGCCAGACCCAAGTTCATGATGTGTTCTGTTACACCACTTTGCCTCTTAAGATCCTTAAACTGCTACTTTATCATGCTAAACTAGATTCCTTGTATTTTCAAGGGGAAAAAGTCATTAAAGTCAATTTCAGATTAAGGCAGTTCCACAAACATAAAGCCTTTGAGGGGGTGGATTTTAAACCACTACTGCTAGTTATCTTCAAAGGAGGAGTTGGGTTACTGTTAGGTGACTGCTTTTGCTTTTTTCTTTCCAAAATGGGAAAACTAAAGCAAACGGTCAAGCTGAGGGCCAACAAATGCAAACTCCTGGTGCTGCACTAATAAAACAGGGTAGGAAAAAGAGACTTAAATACTATAAAACAAACATTCACATATAGTCAACATCCAGTAACAGTTACATGTCTCCATAAAGAGACTGTTAAGGTCTACACTTTCAAAATAAATGCTCCTGTATACAAAGTAAAAACAAAACCAAAACCAAGATCAAGCCAACACAACCCAGATGACATTTATTCAATTTGGTTGCAGTAGGTAAAATATGCCTCGTGGGGACACAGCTACGGAACTGTGTAAACACCTGTTCTTTATCACATTCAGGTAATGCATAGTGATGAGGTTCCAGGCTTCCCAGCTCAGGAGGAGTATCGGAAATCGTTACCACACACCCGGCCTGTTTTTATTGTAGCTACGCTCTGTCATATTTTTAACCCAACGTATCTTAAGACAATTCTTACTCTAGACGTAAACATAACTGGCTATATTGAGAAAAAAAAGTTATAATCACAGATGGCTTTTGTGCTTACGTGGTTTGTCGATGGAATATAAAATCAGATCTTCCCAGAGTTCTCCATCATCTTGCTCCTTGGCAAATTCGATGGCTTTATCAACATCATGCAATTCCTCCATAATCATCTTCAGGGCACTTCGGCTATTACCCATTCGGCCTAGGTGGGGTGAGGATGTGAGAACAAGTTCATTTAGAATATTTTAATAAAACATTTTTAAAAGAAATAGCATCTCTTGATTTGTTCACACAGTTTGAAAGCTAAGACAAAAACATTTTCTTATGTGACATCAGCATTTACTATCTATAACACAGCAAAACAAATAGTGCCCATTTACTGCATGTTTACTCTGTGCTGAGTACTCACTTAAGGGCTTCACATGAATTACATCATTTTATCATCACTATAATCCTATGAAGTATGTTCTACTCATATTCCTACTCTATAGAAGAGGAAAAAGAAATGTTAGTAACTTGCTAAGATCATAAATAGTAGAACAGGAATTTGAAGCCAGGTCTGTCAGACCCTGACTTCCTTCTGACAGACCTGTGTATTTTTTGGAGGTCAATACCTTCACATTCAGCCACAGTTTGGACTTAAAGCCATTCTGCCTCATGAGGTGGCCTTGCTATTCTGATATACTCGTGCCAAGTGCAAAGTCAGTTTTCAGAGTGCTGCCTCATTTCCTTCTCTTTCAAGTTCAGGGAAAAGCCTTTCAATAACTCTGATGAGATGAAAGTATTTACCAACTACGCTTCTATTCATTATCTTACATGCTTAGCTCATTAAAATGCTCACTGGCATTTTAACAGTTTGAACAATTTCCATGAGTTTTTAATACAGTACATGCAAAAAGCCTTACTCGGTGGAGGGACATGTGCTATCACCCTTACCGCTGTCCCCTGCCTGTGCAGGAACTAGTGAAGGATCTCCAGTCATCCTCACTGTGAGTGGCCATTATCAACTGATAACAGCCGGCTTGTGAATAAAATGATACTCCACTTGATAGCCCTTCTACAGTATTTTGTTTTTCTTGAAAATATTATTCCCACAGCTTATATATTTAAAAAAATGGTTAACCTTTTAAATGTATATAGGATTTTAAAGTTTTTATACATTATTTCAAACCATTTGTTAAGCCACTCTTCCTTATTTACTGTGCTATGAAGTCTATTTTTATATATTAAATTCTTGCACAAAATAGGCTCGAACTTCTGTGTTACTTTGGTCTAAAACCTATGTCCTTTTTTACACAATTTACAACATGTTATCACCCCATTTCTTAGCATATGGGGACCAAAATGAAAAAAAGCCACTTACTCAGAAGATAAACTGTTTCTTCTACAAAGTTTCTCTGTTGACAGATCTCAAGGGCCTTCAATTAAAGCAGGGTAAAAAATGTTACTATGGGCTCCCAAACAAGAACAAATATTAACAAAGTCACTTAACAAATTTGAAAGAATTTTTCCACTGCCTTTGCTTGTTTGTTTGTTTGTTTGTTTATCAGCAGTCACTTTCTGACCAACCACTGCCTTTCTTTAAAAACAAAACAAAGCAAACAGAAAACAAATCTCCTTAGGATTTACTGGTGGCTGTACTCAGTTACCTGTCAGAGAGGTATTGGGCCCTACACACTTTAGTTGAAAACATATTTGAAGCAGAACGTTCCATGAGCAAAGGCAGAAAACAAGACCAAGAGGTTGAAATAAAGGATCTTTCCCACTAGGCCATTCTCTCTTGACGCTACTTTAGATTTCTTCACAGCACTGCTTCCTACCAAATCTATAGTCATTATTTAAGCTCTGTTTCCTTCTACTAGCACATAAGGAATGTTGTTCATTGTTGCATTACTGAGCCATATGCTCAGTAAACACTTGTTGCATGAATGAATGGGTGGATCAATGAATGAAGGAATGAATTTACTAGGAATATTTCTATTGCCAGCTCACAGGGTTTAAAAGAGAACTTTGCTCAAGGATTTGTCTAAAACGAGAGGGAAAAAAACACATCTGATGATCAATAAGGATCAAAAAAGAAGCAACTACGCAGGTGACAGTACTTCTGTGGGTATAAAAAAACTCAAAATACTATGTGTTGATAAATAACTCAATCATTCTAAATTAATTGGACTACATTTACTATATTCTCTGTGCTCAGTGCTAGAGGGTCAGGTTGGATAGAGATGCAAAGATGATAATAATAAAAATGTTAATGATGATGACATACAAAAGGAGAACAAAGAAGAAAATAAAAGAGGCGGCTTAGTAGGAGTGCAAGCAGCGTGAGTCCACCCCTGGGAGATCTGGGTCCAGGGAGGGTGACGGACATGTGACAATACTTGTTCCACGATCAGGGGAACATGAAGAGAGGGCCATGTGTGTAGACAAGGGGCACTGTGGTCCTCTTGTGAAAAGCTTCACAGAAGAGGTGGCATCTGAAGGGGGTGCAGTAACATGAATGACCAGCAGGAAACCTTATTTCATACCCCTCCTACATAAGCTTCCTGGTGCCTGGCTCCACTTAAAGTAGAGAATCTGTACCACGACCTCCACGGCATCCATGACCTAGTCCTGCCTTCCTGTGCAGACTGGCCTTCCTCTGCTCATCTCTTCATTGCATCCCTTTTCCTGAAATGCTCCTCTCACCTCCCACTCTCCACCCCTGGCAAAGACTTCAGACCAATATTCGCTTGGCCTTCATGTCTGGTCAGATCCCAGGAACTCACTGCAGTTGAACCCTGCACATGGCTTAACAACACTTTCTCAGAGTTGCCATCAACTACTCACCTAATGATTTGCTTAATTTCCCTCTGCTGGGACCATGTGCACTCTGAGCCCTGTGCTTTGCATAATGCCTGGCCCCAAGTAGGTGTGCCATAAATATTTTTAAAATAAATGAGTAGGTAGAAAAGGTTTCAGGAGGAAGATTATTGGATTGCGTATTTAGAAATAATCAGTCAAGGTTGTTTTAAAAACAAAGGCCAATGAGTTAAAAAGGATAGCTCAAGTTAATTAGCTCTTTTGGATCAATGATCAATGTTGGGAAGTAACAGCAGGAGCTAGTTTTGATATTTTGATTTTTGACTTAAAATTTCTCTGTAGGCTATCTATTTTAAATCAGTGTCTCTGGTTACCAGCTAAAGGGCAGAAAAAACCTGATCATAGAGATCAATATAGCAAAAAAGAAAAAGAAAACATAAAAAGGGGAAAAAAACCCAAACATTATCTTACTTCAGAATTGCAATGAAACTAGGATGGTGTTTTAGAGTACAGACACCATTTAAATGAGAAAATGAGAATAACTACAGGTCACAATGAGGAGGAAACAATTTGATGACTCACAAGACTCCTTTAAAAATTAGGTGGCAGAGAGAGCTAGTTGCCTCCCCGTCCCCAAGATCCTTCTCCAATTTCTTTCACAGTAATAAGATTTTAGGTGGGTATGTGACTGCCCAAAATTAAAAAACAAAACAAAACAAAGAACAAAAAAACCTCCCAGCCTCTGCAGTGGTAGGGGAACCACATGACTAACGCCCACCACAGAGCTGAAGAAGAATGCAAAGTGGTAACTTCTGGAACCTTACTTTGAAGCCACTGTGTGTGAACCTTTGGTGTCTTTATTTGTAATCCTTTCATCCAATTAGCTGCTGGAAACGTGGACAGCACTACCTCACATCACAAGGTCAAGTTTATACAAGGTAGAGGACAAGAGAAAAAGGCCCTGGTCTCTGACTATGTGGCATGCCACCCCCAGCAGAGCCGCTACACCAGGACAGAAAACTAAACTGCTACTCTGTTTAAGCCGTGATTATTTTGGGATTTTCATCACTCATACCAGAATCTAATCCCAGCTAATACCTAGAAAATCCTCATTTGTTTCGATTGAAAACATGGTTTACCTATTCCTGTAATGTCTCTCCCATTAATCATTGCTATAAACAATGGAACTTTCTTACCAACTCTTCACTCTTCTGCAGTGAGACTAATGTAGAAACAAGAAACACATTCAAGAAGTTAAA